ACATAATACTGCAGGATGATAGAATTTGCTTAATTACTAACAGTACTTTCAGCAATCATCAACATTAATTGTAGGCATGAACATCTCCTGGTGGACAACATAAAACTCAAACAGTATAATATGAAAGAGAAGACAGAAACACAATGCACGTCTTTGAAAACTGGACACTTAGAAAAAGTGAGATAGGATTTATACATTTGGAATCAGCTATTAAGATTACTATACCCTCAGAAAAAAAACAATCATTTCTTGAATAAATAATGAGTGGTTTTTTTCCTTTGATATTATTGGGATTATAAATATGCTTGATTGTGGTAAGGGTAAAACAAGAAAGTACTAAATTGAACTGAACATTTCATGTATGAAAAGCCAAATCAATTTAAATGATCCAAATAATTTTAGATTTATTGGACAGGATTTACAGTGAAGACCTTCTAATCTCCTGAAGCACAATATGGCAATATGTGTTCTAATGAATTTGTTATTTGATGAGCACAAGACATAAATGGATAATTCTACTAGGCATCTTCCTGCTTTATAAGTCAACCAACCACTAAAGGATTGTGATAAAATGTTGAGTAACTTGATCCTATGTTTCCTAGGCCTTAATACGAATCATAAAAGCAGATTCTTTTTATGGAAGAAATTGCTACCTAAAACTAGCAATATTGTGCTCTATTGTCTATTCTGACACATGCTTTATGTTTTCATTTTTTATTTATTTTAATAAAATATCTTTTTGTACAAAGGTTTAGTCATATTCAGACATGCACATTCACATATATTAGTAAGAAAGATCAGATTATGTATTGAAATATATATTTTATTTGCTTTCCATTTGAATGGTGAACATTCTTAAGAATTCTGATTTTTTTTCTAGTTTTATGAGAGTTCTCCAGAATTCCACCCCATAGATTTATAAGAGTTGGGATGTAAATTATGATTATGTTATGTTTCTAGGCTTTTCACTGGCATTTAATTATACCTTAATTGTATTTTAATTTATATTGTTTTACCATTTGAATGACCATTTTGTAGCTACTTACTTGATTCTGCATCTTGCACTTTGTTGAATATGTTTTTATTCAAACCATATTTTAGTGTGTTTTATTGGGCAGTTTTAAAACTGTAAATAAGTAAATAAATAACTGCAGCATATTTGCTTTTTGGCATGATCAAATAGTCTATTGATCCCGTGGGTGGAGGTCAAGGATGAAAATGACTTGCCAAGGCCCATTAACTTAATCTCCATGATAAAATACTCTCAGGATTTTGAGTATTGAGATGCGGAATGGACAGTTATTTCAATAACCCAATCATCAGGGTCATGCTGGCTAAAGGATGCCACTGGGAAATGATAATGTGTGATGAGGTCTCCTGATGACTTTGCTAGTTTATTTTGTATACCTGACATTTTTTTCCTAATCACTCAGGAGTGAGAAGGCCAGCTCATGCTGGTTGAGTGGTGTGAATGACTCATTAGACAAAGATATTAATCTGTTGGGTAGAGAACAAGAAACCAGTTCCCTACAGGACTAATATTGGTCTATCTATTGGCTTTTTTGCTAAAGCCTGAAAGTAAGGCAGATACTAATTTACCAGGGTGAACAGTATACACAGAAATACAAGTGAAATTAATGGCTTTCATCAGCTTCCAAGTTAGCTGCTATAACTTAGATTAAAATAAGAGAAGATCTAAGATGTATTCAAATCAAAATGACTTTTGTGTTCATTAATTGCAGCTTTTCATTACTGAGTTTTTGTCTATTTGATCTTATTTTCTCACCTCAGGATATTTATTGAAAGCTGAATTCACATTCATGCTAAGCTAAAAGATGAGCCCAGTCAGTATAGTTACAGTATGTTATGATTCATTGTGTTGGGTGAATCTAGTCTACTGGATTGTCAGCAGGGCTTCCTGATCTGGACTGCACAAATTTGCATGAGCACAAGATGGCAGCAGTTATAGAAATTTCCAGTTCTTTGCTGCCATCTAATGGCCATTTGGTATTAAGACCAAGTTATGCCACTGTTCCATCTAGCTCAGTATTATCTCCCTTGTTTACTCAAAACAAAACTCTTAATTTTACTGGAAACACCATTAACTGGAGACCCAGTTTTATGGAAATCTATTTATTGCTTCTGAGCTGCAACTTGTTTTTCATTTACTTTTGCATCCTAACTCTCATTCCTGGTTCTGCCTCTTTCATCAGCCTATCCACCAAACTCTGATTTTTCAATTTCTTACAGTTTTAGAAGACTCACTCATTGAAATAACCTGACTCTACCTTCATACTATCAAATGTGTTTGTGCATTTGTGCAGTGTTCCCAGGATTGCAATCCATAAGTAAACTTTAATGGAAGACACATTCCATTATTAAATGGTGAATAGATTTGCAGTCAGTTGGTTTATGGCCAACCTTTACCTTAATGTTTGCAGGCTAAGAGTTATCAGCACAGCTATAGGTTTATGAACAAAAGATAAGCACATTGATTTGAAATTAGTGTGCTTTCTAAGGAAGTACATAAAATATTTTATCTGTTTGCTAATAAATTCGGTTCTATGATTTTCTCCATACCGCCTCCATTTGGTTGGAAGCTACTTATCCAAAAATCTGCTGGATCCCTTTATGCTTGGCAACAAGCGCCAGATTTTTTTTCTGATTGATTTAGTCTTAATATTTCCCATTATCATAATTAGTCATTCTTTGCTACCTTCATGCTGGAATTTAATGATTATGCTCCCCATATGCAAACAGATACTTAAAATATGTATAACTCTTAAAGATAGGCCCTGGGTTTTCAAGGTTGGTTATCCAAACTTGGGTTTATAAACTTCTTTTAATGTAGAGGCACTGAAGGTCAAACAAATAAGGAGTTAGAAAATGGAACAACCAAAGTTCTTTGGGGATTGACTTGGGCTTTCAAGATAGAGGCAAAAAAGGCATTCAGGTCAAGGGGATATACTCAAAAATCTGAGATCATGACTGAATGCCTACCCAATGACTGCTGTGAACAAAAATCTTTACATTTATAAAAGGGCATGGCTCCAAAACAAATGCAGACTGAGTTAGGGCTACAAAATCTGGACTATGCACATCCTTATGAGAACTAGAAGGCAGCAAAACATTAGAATCTTTGGTCATTTTGTTGCAGTCTAAAGTTTAGCAGTCCAGTTCTATTAACTTTTAATTAACAAACAGAAACTGTTGGTGTTGCTCTTTTAGCTCTCCGAGATACTTACTGTTAACTCCCGCACTTTACTTTTGTCTTTTTCTCCGGATTATAGATCAGTGGGGTTGAACGACCATTTCATGGGGGTCGCCAAACAACGCAGTCCACCATTTTTTTCCCCTTTTCCTTAGCTGTGCTATTCCCTTTTATTCTATTGAACTCCCTCTATTCTAACTCCCTCTATTCTATTCTCTCTTGAATAGAGTCTAATTCTATTGGCTTTCAAAAGCCAATAGGAATTGTCCAGGCTGTCTCTGCCCTGCTGAGCCCGCCAAAAGTCCCATTCTGTAAATGGTGCTGCACCAGTTGAGTAGTCCTAGACTTACAACCGGTTGAGTAGTCCTCGACTTACGACCAGTTGGGGGTCACGGCATTAAAAAGGTTGAGAACCACTGCTATAGATACATTTAAAATCAAAGCACTGGGCTGCATCTGCTCACCATTTTTATTTTATAAGAATGTACAAAGGGCCTATATAAAAATTAGGAACTCAAAATGTTGGTTGAAGCTGCCAGGATTTTGTTTTTTAGTTTTTAATAAAGAATTGGCCTCCTCCTCCTCCTCCCCTCCCTCTCCTCTTCCTCCTTAAGATTTTAAAATCATTAAGAGCCTAAGCCACAATCACTCCACATTTCCTAAACATTAGGGAGAGACATAAAGAGAGATTAGAAATACAAGCAACTTACCATGTGAGCCATCTCAATAGAGTTTTAGAAGGTAACCTGGGAAGCAAAGCTATCTTAGACTCTATTTTGCAGATGCCAGCTAGAATGGAGTGGCCAATAGTTGGCAGAGTATAAGCAACTTCATATATGTTTACACTGGCAAAGCAGATTGCTAGAAAAAGCTGTAAACTAAGTATTAAAGAACTATATGCAAAGGGAAAATAAACCTAAAGTGTGCTTATATAGCCGTGGTCTTGCACACTAAACACGAATATTCCAAATAAGTTCATTATTTGTGCTTTGACTGATCATGGAACTTCATGGATCTTAGGTGAAATGAAGATCACATCTTCACCAATTATTTAAGATTCTGTAGCTATAGAAGCTAAGGCAGCAGTGGGCATCCTACAGACCTAGGGATCTCCTTATTTTTACAGGGGCCTTGGTCTAATTTCAGAACCTCCCCAAATAAGCAATTTATGCCTTTAGAACAGGGGTCCCCAACCCCCGGTTCATGGATCTGTACCGGTCCACAGCATGCCAGCAACTGCGCCACACAAACAAGCAAAGCCCATCCATGGGATGCAGGCAGTGCACAAAACCACACCCCTTCCGGTCCGTGAAAAAATCTCTCTCCACATAACCGGTCCCTATTCTGCTCTAGAATATACAAATGCATAGTTGCATTTCCTAGCAAGTTGTCATGTGAGAATGAAAAAAAGAGAAGAAAAAATAACAAGCTCAGGCAGACAAAGAGAAATGGATGCAAGAAAAGGAAAAAAATGGAATGCTGGGAAAAGAAAAAACATGCATGAAATTTGGTTTTTTCTCTACCTATCAATTCCTTTAGTCCAAGCCACCTTTACTATATAGTATTATACACCCCCTATCTCTACACCTGCAAAAAATATATGACTATGTAAGAGACAGAAAAAAAAGGTTTAGCTAAAAATACAAGCTGAATCTGAGACCATCTGTATGTCAGGATTAAAATTCCTCTCAATGATTAAAAAAAAAACCAGCCTATAATGTTAATATGTAATTTAATATTCAAGATAGGATAACAGTTAGAAAAATTATGTGGTACTTATTTTATTAGCTAAAATAACTGCTTCTGAGTTATGAAACATAATTTCGACTCCATTCTTATGTTAGCACTTTGAGGCTTGATTTTTTTTTTTATTATCCTATTTCTTTTTTTTCAGATTCAGACTTTTATATTTCATTAAGAGTGAACGAGAAAAGCATAGAAGTCTGTCTGATTCATCAGTGTTTTAATAGGTACCTGGATTCAAACATGTATTGTTCCCCATGGAACAGTCTGAACATTGGGCCAATTAGAAATGGAGTGAAATGTTATTTTTAGCTCATATTCATATATAAATCTGGTGTTGTACCTCTTTCATATCATAGATGCATTTGAAAAAGAACTCAGGATTAAAACATTAAAATGAGAATTGAGTCATCCATGTGGATGTAACAATTAGGTGACATCTTGAATTGTTTGCAGATGGGTAGCTGTAACCGTTCTGTAATGAAAGCAAAAAAAAAAAAGTATTTTGGAATCTTGAAATTTAAGAAACTACCAATTTTAGTTTTATTTTTCCTTCCTTCTTTAACTTATTTAAAGTACATATTTTAAAGAAATGTTTATTTGATATTATGGCCTATTGATTAATATGAATGGTATTGATTAATTACAATATCACTCTCATTTATCACTTTAGATAAAATTAGTTCTTGATCCCTCCATTGGGGTTATTTTGCACAATATGTAAAAATATGTAAAGCAGCCATGGTTTATACTTGGAAAATCTGTACTACAATTATTTTTTGGAAAACCAGCTTGGAGAATTTCCATTGCATTTGCTTAAGAAGCATGTTCTTTCCAATGAATCCAGAAGGACACGTTGAAAGAAAAGAAACAATTCACATCATGGTTATTAAATTTTTAAAATCCCCTGGTGTTTAGTGAAGATACAGAGTAATCTGATCCATAGAGATCTCAAAGTAATCTGCTTGTACCAGAACTCTGGGATCATTATTAAAATGTGTTCATAAGCTTCAACAGCTGTCTGCACCAACCAGATTACAAACTTTTTATCTTCTTTTTATTTTTATTTTTTAAGTATTTCTTGCAATCAAGCCATCATTTTATCATCTCATTTATTCCTACAACCAGCACAGTTTTGAACTGATCTTCATCTATCTTTCTCTTGTACCTAGATTCACTGCCTTTAACTAGAGCTTGCTCTAGATCATACATATTAATATTATTATGGTTTGTTGCATAGTCAGCCAGATATTCAGACTGTATTTGACATTTTTATCTGCCTATTGTGTCTTTTCCAAGGACCTGGGATAGGCAGATGTTGATGTTTTATAATGTTAAGAGGTATCATCACAGGATGTAAGCTGTTCCAAGTAGAACTTCCTTTTGCAATTGACTGATGGTGAATTTTTTCAATGCCGATGGTGTTCAAGTGTTATAATTAGAAATTGCAGAAGGGGACAGTAGAGAATGAGAGGATTAAATAGAATTATGCATATACACTATAATTTTGATACTTCTAAACCCAAGTTTTTGCACCCCCTGGATATCATCTTGCACCCCCAGTTAGGAACCCCTTATTTAGAGTATGGCAATGTTATAATAGCCAGGTGTCTACAATGCTAACACAGAGTACTAGATTTTTGCTGCCTGATACTTATAGAAATATTAACAACTGATAAACTATATACAACCTGGTTGTAGCAAATTTGAGGAACAGTACACAGTACACAGAAGTCCTGATTAGAATAGTTATGTTAATTACGGCATACCAAAACAATTGTATTGTGTGGTGTTAGTGGAGTTGGAAAATTTGCATACACACACACACACACACACACACACACACGTATGATTGTGTGTGTGATTTTTCAAACTAAATTATAGTACTTGCAGAGTTGCTGAGAAGATACAAAGTAGGTCCCTGAATCTCTTGAAGAAAAGCACGACAGAACCGCAGTATGCAATTAATTGCTCAGGAAGATCTTCTCCCTTCTATAAATATCTTGTACAGTTTTCCAGATGTCTTTTCCTTTCATTAAGGTTCCTTGCATCTTTTCTGAAGCGTAGTCAGACATACTTTTGGTCAGAGCCTGGTTTCTGTCACTACAGATTTTTGTAACCATTATAAGAATGAAAATGGGATGTAGCTTATTGAATGGTTAGCTGTACAGATCTCTCTTGCTCTGGCTTTTTAGAGAAGATTATTCCATTTGGGAGGAAACAGCTCTGTCATGACATCTTAATGGCCTCTGGCAAAAACAAAAAGAAAGAAAAAGAAAGAAAAAAAAGGGGGATAAATAAAATAGTGCCAGAGAAACAATAAGTGGCATGCAAAAGCATTTTTCCCTAAATGATAGATCTGTTATTATTCTGAATTAATATCTCTCTCTCTCTCTCTCTCTCTCTCTCTCTCTCTCTCTCTCACACACACACACACACACACACACACACAAACACACAGAGATACACACAGATACACAAATACACTCTGCAGATAAAAGTAAATAGGAGGATGTGTGAAACCCACAACCAAACATATTCCTTAATCTACATCATTTGCAGCCAAATTCTCACTATTTTTCTTTCCATGATAGGAATAAAACTGCCTAGTTTATGGGGTTGTGGTATAACAGTTACACAAAGTGTATTTATAGCCATTCTTACCATGTTCATTGTCCTCATAGTAGATTACAGGTTGCAGACTATCTTGTTAAACAATAACCAGATGGAGGCAACATGTTTTCTTTCCTGGTGTGGATTGTATTATGGTATTCTACCCTTTTTTTCTATTTCCAGTAGAGGTAAAGGCCATATGCAACTCCAACTTCATTTTGGCAAGCTCCCTAAACCTTTCTGGAGCACAACAATGGGGGATCATTTTTTTAGGCAATGGAAGAAGCAAAATAGCTGTACTTAGCCTCTGTAATGTTTAAAGTATCCTCTTATAGAAACATGAACCACACTTGTCAACCATCCCTGTTTCCTTCTCAGTGTAACACTTAGGTGCAAAATTAAACTATCCTTTGTCAGAATCTTCCCATTCATCTGGTCTGCTACATCTATGAGCAGACCATGAATGTTCTCAAAGGTATCAGGAATTGGCATTTTAGAAATATTTAGATGTAGGTGTTCTGTCCCAGCTACATGGGTCCTTGTTGTACTCACAAGGAGAAACCCCTCTTCTGAGAAACAGGCAGGAACCGCAAGAAATTTATTCTCACAGACCTGAGTCAATGTCCAAAGCAAACAAACACAGTCCACAGAAACTCGATTCTCAACATGAACAGTTGCCTTCAGCAACCAGCACCTCCCACACTTTCCCCTTTTATAATTCAGCCAAAGCGTGGCTTCCTAATGCCTTGTCCTTTGCCTTTGGACCTACCCCATTGCATTCCTCTGTCCCACTCTCTTCTCCTGTCTGCATCCGGGATTTGTCCCAGCTGTTCCTCATCACTGTCCAACTCAGGCTCCCAGCACAGCTGTGTCTCAGCCCGAGCACAATTAGAGGGGCCAGGCTCCTCGTCCGACTGTAAGTCTTGGAGCTCCTCAGAGCCTTCCTCTAACTTTAATGTCCCTCCTCCTCATCTGAGTCCTCAGACTCAGCTGCCGGATCCACTGGCTTGTGAGGAATCACAACAGTAGGAGTTAGAATTTCATTTATACTAGGGACCATAGGAAAAGACACAATGTGGTATGCAGAACTATTCATTCAATTAATTCTCAGATGTTAAATTTAAAATTTACCAACAAAGAATTAAAAGGAGACTAGTATAGCTATTTTGAGCTATTTAGTTCTCATCAGCTAGCCATAGCTAAATAGAGCTAAATAGCTCAAAATAGTTAAACTAGTCTCCCTTTAATTCTTTGTCGGTAAATTTAAATTCAACACACAGATAGTCTGTTGCAGAAGCGACTATCTGTGAAGGCTCCTAGATTGCGGCTGAAAGGTGAAAGCAGAAGCAATATGCTCCGTCCCATATTTGGGATGGACCAGGTTACCCTGATAGACAGATCAAACCAGAAAACACTTAATTCTCAGACCCTTATTAGTTCACTCATGGCTATGAAACCTGTGTACCACTGAATTTTTTTAAAAATTTAGTCTCAGTCACAAGTTGACTTCCGAACTATCCCATTGTTGTCCTTAGAAGTATTTCTACATAGAAGGACCATTTCATATCATCAAGACCTCTAGGCCTATCTCTGTTTTTTGGGTGGCAGTCATTGTACACATGGTAATTGCTAGATGCAAATGTTTTGGCTAAAGTCAAACTGGCTACTGACAAATGTAGATAAAATGAAAGTAGAAGCAAGTGATTAGGATTAATGCCAACTCTGTCTTCAGCTACTGCATCAGGAAAACCACATCTCATGAAAGAGATATTAATCCTTTGAGGACGTGAATATCCATTCTAGTTGTGAAAGTTATTACATGTTAAGACAGGGATGGCATGTATCTATGGCTGTATCACGCTGTTACCAATCATCTGACAGGAGAGGGAGAAACTGAGTGGTTGCCATTCAGATGTGGAGCTTCTTGTACATTTTGATGAAATATGTCTAGTCATGTAGCTGGAGCAGATGCTGTTTTGTAATTTAAATTGGTAAATGAGAGCTATTTAAAAACAAGTCATCATATGATTACTATGGGGATTGAGGGAAAAACAACATATCTAATTTATAAGGCACAGTGTCTCAACATCTACAACTTATAAGGGATATAATATAGTTATTCAAACATCCACAGCAGACTTTCTCTGACTTCTATTTTTTCTCATGAGAATCTTATATAAAAAGAACTAGAACTAGATCTGTAGGCATTTGAGAGCGGGATAATCTCAACTTGTAGCTCCTGCTCATGTAGCTATTCATCCATAGGTGTAGCCACTGTGTTAACCTAGAGCAATCTTTCTCCATTTTATCAAGTTTAAGATTTGTGGACTTCAACCTTCAGAATACACGGCTGACTGAGAAATTCTGGAAGTTGAAGTGCACATTTCTTAAAGTTGCTGAAGTTGAGAAACACTGGTATAGAGGTTCTTCTGATTTACAGAGTCTGGTTTCAATCAGAATAGAGTTGGAGGGAACCTTGGAGGTCTTCTAGTCCAACCCCATGCTCAAGCAGGAGAGTCTATACCATTTGCCCAGATCCCCTTTGCAATTTATTTTAAGGTGGCTCCAAGTCACATTCAGTGGTGCTGAGGAATTAGTGGATCAATTTCCTTTCCACTTTCTGGAAGAACCAATCAAATTGCATGTTTCAAGAGTGAGCAATAATGGGTTTGCTGCTCTTAATGATAAATATCAACAATTCAGTTATGAAAATAGAATCAACATTGAGAACAACAATCTGAAACAATGCTACACTATTGAAAGCAATGTGATGTTCTGCTTTACATACACCTGCTGCAGACTGAATAGTCTTAAAAGAATAGCTCATATTAATACCATAACACATATTTAACAAATTAAACTCTCCCCTTGTAAATTACTCCATATGGAACAAATGGTTTTGCAGAAGTCTTTTTTTCTCACTGGATGATTCTATCTTTTTTACCTGTCCTTGTTTTCTGGGTTGGTCCTCTTACATCCTGATTATTTGATCCCTTTGATTTTTCAAGTCTCATCCTACTCCCAGATGAGTCACAGGGTGCTTTTCTTCCTAAAGTGTACCAGTAAGCCAAGATGTTGCCAACTGAAACTCTTTATCTCCTTGTCTCCTCAGGGTATGCTCCTTCATGTTTCCTAATGAAAAGGAACTCCTATTGAGAAGAAACTGGCAGGAAGAAAATTACACTTTCTCCTGTCTACCTCTTTGCCCTCCTCATAGGTTACCTTTCTTTCCATCTTGTTTGAAAACCAGAGAAGAATCTCCAGTCTGATTTCTTATCTCTTTAGACTGTCTGTCTTAGATGATTTTTCTTCCTTCTCTTCATGCTTCTTGTTTCTTAATTCACAGTTTGCTCATTTTCATAGGTCTCCTACCAACTAAATTTCATTTTCTGCCCTGTTATTTATTCTTTTGGAGGACGAGGGACTGCCTTTGACTCATCTTTGTCTACCGTAAGTGGTTATTTCTTGTTCGGAGCTCTACCAAAGTTCCTATTTTCCTGTGATTCTATAGAACCTCTAGTTATGGAACCCAGGAAGCAAATTTTAACTCTATTTTTTTATACCTGGCATACAATAATCATTCCAATTTCCATCACAGTTCCTAATCCCTTTGTAATCTGCTTGGTGTTACCTCCATTAACATTTTTTTTTATACCTGTATTATAGTAGACCTTGGAGGATCTTGGTTTTTACGTTTTGCTTTGCTTTCAACAACTACAGCTGCTAACTTGTGTAACAAACTGAGACCTTTTGCAACTGGATCTTAATGCCATTAATTATATCCCAATAATAACGCAACCTCTGGATGGCATATATATAGTGAAAGAAAAAATATTTTCAGTATAGTATTTTAATTTACAGTTTGCTTTTATTACTGAGAAATTAATAGTAACAGGAATATTTTTAAATAGCATGTGTTAATTAGAGCTGGGATTTCTATTTTCCCACCATTAATTCTTTGCAAGTGGCTAGAAGAGATTAGTCAATAGCTTTTGGGGAAAGAATGATTTTTCAGTGGAAAAAAGGTTTTTGTTTTTTTTAACAAAATGCTTTACACTACTTCAGAGAGTAGCGTTTTGGCTAAATTTCTGAAGCGAAATACTATGGATACAGTACCAAATTCTGATATGTTATAATTCCCAGAGAAATTATTGGGAAGAAAACATGCTCCACCTGTCATGGTCAACAAATTATTCTGATGGAAATACATGACATACATATCTTTAATGTAGACAATGATTTTGGTTTTCTTGGCAATATCTCCAGGAATTGTGTACAATTCTAGGGCTGATAAGAAAGTCACCAAAGGCAGAACAATAATTCATAGTTTACTGATTTCTAGCCCTGTGCCTTAATCAGTACACCAAACTGTTAGACAACCATAGCACCCATATTTCTTCCTCAAATTGCCATAGGAATATGCCCTGTTATAGGATCATTCTGGGGGGGTGTTTGAAGAAGATGTGGTCAATACTAATTTTAAACAATTATCCCAAAGTACTAAATCAGATCATGGTATTCCCAAAGATATTGTTCCAAGGTGGAATGGCCTTTTAATAAAAGAAATAAATAGGGACTAGAAAACTAAGATACCTCATGTATTTATATACAATAATATAATAGTTTCAGATATTTTTTCCCCATAAACAAACAATACTGTTAGGAATAGAGCACCTCTTCTGGCTGCAGGAAAAGAAAATGACATTTTTCAGAAAGGTTCATGCTTCAACAGATTAGAAAGATGTATCTTCTGAATCAAACCACGTCTAATGTTCTATTTCCATGCAAATAGTATGTGGAAAGTTTATAAACAAACCATGACTTAATTCCTCCCTCTCTCTAACTATAATCTCTCTGTGTTGAAGATAAAGAATGATATTTGTATTCTATGGTTCAGGAAGCTGTACAGTGGAATACAGAATTGAAACAGGGAATTATTTCTTCAGTTTTAAACCCAAGATTCAGGAGACATTTAATGAATGATGAAAAGCCAGTTAAACTTTGGAATATACTCAAAAGTGGGTCTATATTTCCAAAAATCCAACACCAACCTTATTTGGTTTAGTGATTTGTCTTATGCTATGACAATATCAGATACTATTGAATTCAGATAATCAGAAATGGCTTCTCTGCTGATGCACCTCTCTCTAACATTTGAGCAGCAGCTGGAAATTAAGAAAATTACATGGCTTGAACCACAGGGGAAATTTGCTTGTTGGATTCAACCTACTGTTAGAAAAAAATTTTCTTCTTAATAGTGAGCTGAGCAGAGAAGAAATACTATTCTCAAAAGATAAATACTTAAAGGAATTAGTGAGCATGAATATGTATATCTGTCTGACAAAGAATGCTGCTTCATGTGGAATCAGTTTGTCAAAGACATTTTTAAAGGAAAAAAGCATTGTATGTTTGGAATAAAAATAAAATACTGTGAATATCTAGATATTTCAATGGTGAGTTTTATTGGGTTACTTTATTTATGAACTGAGCTTCAAATTGTGATTTGAACCTAATCTACCTTGTTCTCCCCATTATCTAAAGTAGAATTATGTACTGATTTAAATGAAGGCAATATAAGCCAGAAATTTAAATAAAGTTTCCTATATATTAATTCATGTATTTGTAGTATAGGTATGTTTCTACATATTTGCTAGAATCAACGTCCATGTGATTTGACTTTTAACATGGAAAATATGTACTTCACCATTTAGCAACTACTCTCTCTATTTTTATTCATATAATAGTCTTGCAGCATATACGAAAATAATCTTGAGTGGCTTTTATAATTGACTGTCCATTAATCTCAGCAAGAAAAGTTTTGGTTTCAGTCAAATATTTATCTTTAAAATTCTTTATATAATTATAGGTATATGAACTTAAACATTTCTTGCTTCTTTATCCGTCTACCAGACATGATAAAATTATACTTCATGCTGTCCACATTTCCATTGTAAATTTAATGTACCTCTAGACTATTATTTTTGGAATCATACACCAATGATACATCATTTTATATTTTTTTTACATTATACCACAATGTAAATATCAATCCTTTTGACCAGATCTATTCCCACTGTTTCAATATGTTATATCCAAAGTTTTTAGCCCATTTTATCAAACACTTTCACTTGTTTTTCCATTTCAAATTTCAATTAGAAATTAATACATGTTAGTAATTGAACACTGTTCATTTGTACTTAGTTCAACTTAAAATTCTGTCTCCTGCTGGTCAATCCCAAATTTCCTATTGCTTATCTTAAATCTTTCTCTTAACTGTGTAAACATAAATCCTTGAAAACTAAGTCCCTTGGCAACCAGTTGCTCTCTGATTTCATCTTATATTCTCCATGTTTCTGTTCTAACAACTCTTGATAAACTAACCATTTTTTTTTACCATATATTTCCGGTAAAATGCTTTTTGAGCTAAATCCATAAAGGCATTTTCAGGCACAGTCTGTGTTTATATCTATTCCCTATTTTCAATATGTCATTTCTAATAAAACACCCTTTTTATGACCCTGCAATCTCTTAATTCAGGATAGAGACAGGTCGACTGGATGGAGCTGAGCATTTACTGTCCGGATGCCCTTCCTGACACATATGGAGTTCACAGAAGATATTTTTTTCTTTGTGCCCTTCGAAAGAAATATCTGCTGCTATCTAGGATTAAACTCTCAACCTTCCGAGTGGGAGGCAGGTGTCTTCACCACTAGGACACCATGCCGCTCTTCAATATGTCATTTCTAATAAATCTTAACTTTATCATACCATTGAAAATGAGGCCATCCAAATCTCTTATTGTGTTCTTCCAATTTTAAAATTCTTTTAGTTCTCAGCAAAATCCACTCTTTCATTCCAACTGAGCAGCAGACTACAAAATACAGTATCAAGTCAGGCAGTCCTGATCTTCTTCTTCCTTTGCATCTTGAAGTATTTTATATTTAGCTCTTGCTTTTTCCCCCCTTGTCAGACTAACTTAGATGTATTTTTCTGCCATTGTTTAAATGATATACCAGTTGTCAAAATAGGTATCATTTGAAACAAAAACATCATTCTTGGCAAAAAAAAAGAAGGTGTAATCTCCATTCACTTTTTCCAGTAGTAATGCTTGGGAATTCTTTGGAAAAACTACTGAAGAACTTTTCTTTATCCTATTGAAAGTTAGTGTATTCATATGGTTTCCATTAACAACATTAATAGAGTTTTGTAAAAATAATTTTATATGTTCTTGTTTTGTACACAGCTATTTCCACTACATAATTTTTTTGTTGTTCATTTACCTTTACCTGGTTTGTGGTAGGGTTTTCAGCTGCGAATGTTGAATGCCAGAGAACTTGGCCCATGATTGTTATTCATGCTGTGAAAAAGTACAAATTGGTGGATTACAAGAAGTTTTTTTTTTTTTTAAGAAAAATCTTAGCAGAGATTGCCATTGAGATGTCATTCTCCCATGGGCATTCACTGTATGTGAATATCAGCTAAATTAGGTATGTAAGGAATTCAAACTTGCCCTTATTTAAAGAGCAATTGCATGGATACATAATGTCTTTTCCAGTGTTGTGTTACAACACACTTCTCTTGTAGCTAAAGAAGGAATTGGTGACAAAGGCATCAGTTATTCAAAGAACAGAAGTAGAAGTTCTACTGCCAAATGTCAAGATAAGAACCAATGTATAGAAACTAATCAAGTAGAGAAGCAACCTAGAAGTAAGGAGACATTTCCTAACAGTGAGAACAGTCAACTTGCCTTCAGAAGTTGTGGGTGCCCTATTGTTGGACACTTTCAAGAAGAGGCTGGACAGCCCTTTGTCTAAAATGGTATAGACTCTTCTGCTTGAACAAGGGGCTGGATTAGAAGACCTCCAAAGTTCTATGTTCTATGTTCTAACTGTTAACTTTTAAAAATGTCAATAGCAGTATACTTATTTTCTCAGTGTATATACCAGAACAATTATATATTCTGTTGGATCTAAAAATAGCTGCTTCTTTCCATCTAAAATCATAAATATTCATACTTTTCCACAATAATAATATATTCCATGACCTGTGGGTACCCTCTTTATATTCCATAGCTTTTCATAAGATATTTTCCCATGTAAATTTGAAAAGTTAACTTTCACTGGAACATCTTAGATAAAGGGTCAATGCATGACCCTTATAAATTAAGACGTTAGAGAGATAAATACATTTTATATTAAATTAAGTTTTTTTACTTGAAAACAGGTTATCATTAAATGTAGATTATGATTTATATTATGATTTAAATATATAAAGAAATTGGCATGTTGGAACAGTTTAAGATCATGACAAAGGAATGAAGGTGGAATGTTCTATCTCAAGAAATGAAGATTAAAAAGAGAGCTCTGCTATCAGTGTTCAAGTCCATAAAAGGGTTCCATTGAGAATGCCCACAGAAACTAGAAGCAGAAATTCTGGATATATTCCTAAACGTTGTGAACAATTGGACTAAATATTTTTTCTAGTGTCTTCCAACACTATAATTATATGATTCTGTGAAACTCTTCTGACTTGAAACTATTTAAATTTCTGGGACTTCAATATTCAATCTATGTTCATTCCTTCCTTTTTCAAAGTTTAAAAATTATGTTATAGTTTACCTATCTTTGAAATGGGTTTTCAAAGGTTAAGTAGATTAGTCTTCTTCAAGCTGGGAATGCTGCTGTCAGAATCCAATTATATTTCATCTTTAATTATCAAATATAGAAACTTCCAATTCTGCCATCTCTGGATTCTGCCATAAGAGGGAGAGAAGGGGGAGAACAAAGGGGCTTTATGGCCCTCACTTCCTTCAGTACACTTCAAAGGGCTGAATGTTGAATGTGTGTTTATTGTAACCTCGAAGTGTTAGCATACCAAAGGAGAGTATTTGCCTTTCATGTAGTTATCTGAAGTCTCCATCCAGACGGAAGAAAGAAGAAAAGGGGTGGAATTGTGATACTTGAAACTATCACTGGAAGGGGGGTTGATTGGGTGGGACTACTGGGGAACCCCTTAAAACCTTGAATGGAAGAGCTTGAACCCCAAGTCCTGTCTAGCATGCCTGCAACCACTTCTCTTAATAAAGGATTCCTGTTGGAAGAATTATTCCAAGAGTTCTGTCTTCTTAAGATGCAAAGTGGGGTGGGTCCTTACATTAGACAGGACTTGCAAAATTAATCCACCTGGAAGGGAAACCCTTGCCGGGGGATTTTGCAAAAATAAACGTCATGTCAGAGCCCCGACGCTATTGAAGAAGTTTCACACAGAGTATCCTAACAAGCCTGACTAAATTTTATACTTGTGTTTTCTTTCAGGTGGATCTCTCTTATTGTTAAGAGGGGCCGGATGTCAGAATCCAATTATATTTCATCTTTAATTATCAAATATAGAAACTCCCAATTCTGCCATCTCTGGATTCTGCCATAAGAGGGAGAGAAGGGGGAGAACAAAGGGGCTTTATGGCCCTCACTTCCTTCAGTACACTTCAAAGGGCTGAATGTTGAATGTGTGTTTATTGTAACCTCGAAGTGTTAGCATACCAAAGGAGAGTATTTGCCTTTCATGTAGTTATCTGAAGTCTCCATCCAGACGGAAGAAAGAAGAAAAGGGGTGGAATTGTGATACTTGAAACTATCACTGGAAGGGGGGTTGATTGGGTGGGACTACTGGGGAACCCCTTAAAACCTTGAATGGAAGAGCTTGAACCCCAAGTCCTGTCTAGCATGCCTGCAACCACTTCTCTTAATAAAGGATTCCTGTTGGAAGAATTATTCCAAGAGTTCTGTCTTCTTAAGATGCAAAGTGGGGTGGGTCCTTACAGCTGCATTGTTTAGTATGGACATTAACTTACAGAATTCCCCATAGACAGCAAAGTAATTGCTGAGAATTCTGAGTGCTGAATTCCACAGATATCACAGTGGGGAAGTTTGAATCAGGACATTTGAATCAGATAAACAAAGAATATCCTGCAAATTGAAATGTTGTATAATTTCTGCTCTTACCATCAGAACAATAATAAAGATATTGTGTTCCTCCTCTATGAAGACTTATCAAGCGTTAGGAAATTGCTTCAAAGAAATAGAGAGTGAACTGTTAAAAGGAGTAGGTTGCTTTTACAAGTTTTGCACTGAACAATTACAGAGTTTCCAAATTAGATTTAGATCAGCATACAGTCCTGTGTGAAGTTTGCTCATCTCTTATTTAGAGATTAGCAATCTAGAAGAAAAACATTATGCCCTTGTTGCTGATCCCCAAGAAACTGTTTTGCAGGTCTTGAACTTCCACAGTTTTAGAGTAGAACGATTTAGTAATTTTAATGAGGAATGACCAAGGCAAATATCACTGTGACGAAATCCATCTTCTAAAAGAGGGGGGACTGAAGGTCACACAGTCATTCAGAAGCCATGCCAACTTCAGAAATATCCCTGAAACTGCAATTTAAAATTTTACAAAGAATGGTTAATCAGTCTGTTTAACCAGATCAACTAGTAATTTGATTTGAATTAAGTTTCAAGTTATTAATTTATACCCAATTAATTTCAATGCCAGGCACGTTTTACTCCAAATTATCAACTGGCATTCTAGAGGATCAAGCATCGAAGAGTAAAAGACTAAGATCATTAACAATATAAGTTAATCTGACATCTGATTTGTTTTCTAATGTTTCTTACTTCCTTACTTTTGCCCCAGTAATATAATGCAGCCTTTAAGGGGACATCCAGTTTTTATGTAAAGTATGCATGAACCAAGTTTCATCTTTGTATGGATATATGCTCATGTAAAAATTGTTCTAAAATTCACACTTCTATCAGCAATGTACCCATATGGCAGAACTATTAGCCTTTAATTCCCCTGAAATCTTTATATTTCTAAATTGGTTGATTGTTCATAAACCAATGGAAATAAATTGGTACAATCTTTACTGAATAATGTCCATGCTGTTAGCCACCTGTTCCTCTGTTGCAAGGCAAGCTCACAAATGTAACTTAATTCTGGAACATCATACACAGTCACACACTTTTTATATTATCCATCATAATATACCTAAAATTAATGGGAAAATGAAAAGACTGATTTTTTTTATACCAGGTAGATGTTTTCATGTATCAGATTTATATAAGCTAATTGGCTTCCATTTATAGAAATTGGGTAACAGAACATACTTGTTTTAATTCAAGATCCAATTATATACTTTTTAGCATTTAAAAGAGAAATAGCAATGTTTGATTTGATCTATATGTGTGGTGGAAACAAGGAGGATTTGCAAGATTAGAACACTACGGAGAATTATAGAGAACAGTACTGTAAACTAGACTTAGTTATATTTGTGTCTTTTTCTTACTTTACACGTACATTATTATTTTTAGTTAATGTCAGAAATGTGTATAATTTTGCTCAAAAGGAAATAATGTGTTGGAGGGAGGGATGGAGAGATGGAGAGAGAGAGAGAGACTTTGATAAAATGTATTATATATGCTTGACATCTGACCATACATGGCAAAATCTTATAAATTAGGATCATCATCGTTATCTCCATATCACAAATCGTGAATTTATGCACTTTTTTTTCCACAAGTCACTCTTGCACTATGATGAACAAACTATTTATTTGATTGATTGATTGATTTGCCACCCATCTTGTTTTGAAGCGACTCTGGGCAGCTTACAACATGAAAGTATTAAAATAATCAGAAATAAGTATTCCTATTCCAATCAAAGGACAAGCAGATATCTTTAGTTTTCCAGTTGTAGAATACATTCATATTCACATTTAATTAGAGAACCATCTATTGCACTAAGCTTTCTAAGTAGCAAGGTAAGAATTAGTCCTATGCTATTAAACTCCAAACAGAATTAGGAAGAAATTGGACAAAACCTGCCTTTGTTTTGTCTTTTTTCTTCTTTTTACAGTTGCTAACTGTAGTGAACTGAATTGTACCATAATGCAAAGAAAAGGAGAGACATAGTAAAATTTATAGTTGTGTATACAGGCTCATCCTTAATCATATGCTTAATAATCACTCTTTACAATGAAATGTTTGATTTTGGTTTCATTGTGCCCCTGGCTACAATTTGCTTTTAAAATTGTAATTCAGAAGCTCTGTGTGTTGTTTTTGTCTTTATCCTCTCTTATGCTTTGGCAGCACCTTCCCAGTTTTTCAAAAAGATGATTTGGGGTTTTAGAATGGCAGAGATGCCACAGACAAAACATGGGCGTCAGTTTTACATTTCCCACCAATCATGTCAAAATTGTGTGTATCATGACAGATGCCTACCCTGTATGAGATCTTTTTATAAACAGGGATTTGGCTTTCAGCACTGTCACATGCAAGTGACATTTTGAAAGAAAAGCAGAGAGAGGAGGTAAAAGGGAAAAAAAAAATCCTCTCATAAATGATCATGGACAGTTTGTTTTCCTTCAATACTGAAGTGGGAAAGAAATGTCTTTG